CAGCCAGTGAGCGCACCGGCCATCCCTATATAGGATCCGAACCCGTGGCGGGAGCACCACTACGCTCCAAGCGCCGCACTCTCCCAAGTGCGCCACGGGGTCGGCCCTGTACCTTATCTTTAATCTACAGATATTTGAATTTGGGCACACTAGAAGGCCTAAAGAACATATAAGGTGCCTGAAAAGCTAAGCATATAAGGAGCATGTAGAAGGTTAAGAGAACAAAAGAAAAGTCACTATTTCTTTTATCCGTATACCAGAGGAGCATTCTTCTTACCCCTGGCTGTTTCATTTTCTGAATAGCAAACTTGAGCAGGTAGGACAACTGTTCGATGGTGAGCATTGTCATGGCTTTACTCTGGGTCTCGATGCACTCTGCTACTGTAATTTTCTACAAGTCAAAATCATACACAAATGTCTGGTTAGAAAAAAGAAATTACTATTCATGTAATTATTTCCCTTTCCTTCTATTTTTCGATGAACTCACACATAAAAACCAATCCCCATATAAATGAGACTAGTTTTGCTTAACAAGGACTCTGACCTACTAGACCAAAATGTACTGGATCAGTGGGTTAAAATTAAGAAGCTCAACAATCCATTTATTACCTTACTAGGAAGTGTTTCTAACTCATGAAGACATGATCTGAGAAAGGTGTGGGTAGACAGGGTCCTGAAAAATCATCACTATTATAACCTTTGGGTTTCAAGAATGGGATATGAAAGGAAAGGCCACTGATGTTTTNTCACTATTATAACCTTTGGGTTTCAAGAATGGGATATGAAAGGAAAGGCCACTGATGTTTTCAGGGTCATCTCACAGGACAAATACATATCAACCACTTAGGCTGAGCCTCTCAAGGTTCTGGGCTATCTTTCAGGAAACTGACAAGGCATTAACTCAATGACATCACTGATAGAAAGGGACAGACTTCCCTGTAGAAGGAATCCAAGGATTGGTAGTGGACTAAAAATAAATATGACTCCATTGTCTATCACCACTGACGTCAACCCCCTCAGGGCAAACTATGTGATGGGCATACTCTAGCTGTCCATCCCCATAGGCAATACATGTTATTTCACAAGAGAAATTCCCATCAAAGAAGAGACCCCATGAAAGGTCTGCAACCGATCCTGCTGTGTAAATCTGATAGGATATCTGAGGGCTTCAGAATCCTTATGTAGCAGCAACTACAAAAATAGCAAATTCCGATGATGTCAGGAAACACTCTAACCATCTGTGTAGGAAGAGCTGAAAAGTTTTCTCCAATTAATTTGGATTCAGTTTCCACTCTTCACATCTCTGGGGCCTCCAGATGGAACTCTCAATGGGTCTCGGTAGTCGAGGAAAAGGGCAGGACGAGAGTCACTCAAGCTGAAACCCAGGATGACGCATTCATCTAAGTGCATAGCTATCAGGGACAGAAACATCCAGTTCTCTCAGCTGACTGCCTTACCAATTCATCCCTGGAAGAAATTCGGGGCCCACCTGCTTATTTGCATTCCAGTTGGTTTCCAGGGAACCATCCATGGCAAACACTGTCATCAGTCCCACCCTCCACCCCTTCCTCCTCCTGGCTGGCAATGCCTGGCTCCCAAACACAAGAAGTGCTGGATGAGCATCTATCAAGCCTTTTTTGCATAGGGACTGGTGATCCAATGCTGACCAATGAGCCCAAGGGCAAATCATCTGGGAGCTCATGGACAAAATCCTTCCACCTGATAAAAGGAGGAGATGCAAGGAGAGCCACCCTCCTCTAGGGGGACTGTTGTCTATCTACACATGACACTTGAACTCCCAGCAGCCACCTAAAGGCCATGGGGGACACATCAGCTCAACAATGAGAAGGAAAGAGCCTGACCCTAGCCTGGTCTCTGGGCTCTTCCTACACCTGACGATAATAAATCCCTACTGTTTCAGCTATTGCTTACCTTGAAAGCATCCTACCTGAGCCACTGTCTTTTTTGCAATATAAAATTGGGAAGAGTTGGCCAAGACAAAAGAAAAATGGTAAAGGCTCCATTTCCCACACAAAATACAGTAGAATGAGGTCAGGCTCTGAACACAGAAGACAGTGTCACTGAGCAAAACACATCCTACGTAAGTACTTATCTAGAGTAATCCAGAGAGAACCAGTGGTCCTTGTCTGCCATTGTAGAAGTAAGAATATCATTACACTGTCATCATCACATTGAACGGACATCTAATTTCTTTTCATAGATTTCTATGTCTCTCCTTTCCCTAAACAAAAACAATACCACAGATCCTGTCCTATAGCTTGCTTTTTCCCCTACTAAAGAAATCTGTGTGACTTTTCCATTTCACACATAGAAACCTTCCTCATTTGAGATCTCTAATTTCTTTTCATAGATTTCTATGTCTCTCCTTTCCCTAAACAAAAACAATACCACAGACCCTGTCCTATAGCTTGCTTTTTCCCCTACTAAAGAAATCTGTGTGACTTTTCCATTTCACACATAGAAACCTTCCTCATTTGAGATATAATTCCAATGTGCCTTTGAATCCAAGAGACATTCCACATTAAATGATTTTGTAGATGACATTTTTATTTTCAGCACTTCATAGGAGCACCACAGTTGAGAGTCAAAACAGAACAGAAGCCACCTCAGAAGAGTGGAAACCTAATAATTAACTGGCTTAACGAAGAGTATTGGGGCTTTGCTACGAATGACACATACACATTACCTTCACTAGGCTCAGCGAGCTGCCACCTCTGGATCTGTACCTGCAGCTCTCCCTGCCTGTAAGGCCTCCCCCAAATGGCTGTAGGGCTCATTCCTCCCCTCCTCAGGTCTTTCTCAAATCTTAGGCCTTCCAAGACCTCAATATTTAAAATGAAAACATCTTGCATCGCAATAAACTTCCCATTCCCCATCCTCAATGTTTTCTTTATAGCACTTTTCTCCTAATTTATTATACACAACTTTATTATTTTGGTTTTTGTCCTTATCTGCTGAAAAGAAAAGTGATTCATGCCTGTTTTCCCGTGCACTGTCGAATTCCCAGCACCTAACAGGCACTCAAGAAATACTTGTTACATAAAAGAAAGTGTCAGATGGCCACCATTCGGAACATACAACCAAAATAGGTCTTCCCAGCTTAGCTACTGCTGATGGTTCAATGATGCAGCAGGAGACAACATCCAAAAAGGAGAAAAACAGCACAAGATCTTTTCAAAGTGTGTGAACTATTAAAGATTTATAAGTTAACTTCCAAGTCGTTCATTATAGAAGAATCAGAGAGATGGTTACAGATCTTAAAGCGATCCAAAGACCCATGAAGAATCAAAAACAAGATTCAGTGCAACTGTCTTTCCAACGGCTGCAGTGCTGTGACCACTGCCAATGTTGTTCCAAAAAGGGGGCGACTAGGATAGAGCTGGTGGAAGGCATATTTTTCTTTTCCCTATACCTGAGTTACTTGAAAAATTAAAAATAAAAAGAAGAAAAAGAAAGGAGAGGAAACGAGGCAGGTAATGCATTCATTCATCAGGAACTAACCTCACATTCAGGACAAAACCAGTCCCCCTCTGGTTCCGATGTCAGTCTCAGACACTTAGCGTGATAAACCCGGGGACAGAGCTCACAGCAAAGGACTTGGCCTTCCCGGTGACAAACCCAGCAGTAGAAATCATTCCGTCCATCCTGCGGTACAACATCAACAGGGTCTGTGGTGAGTGGCTGCTTCATATAGTAAAACGGACCATGTCTTAGTTCTGACTGAAATGTAGGCAAGAAAGACAGGTTTGGTTTCAAAACAAATGTGCATTCTCAAAAGGAATTTGAACAAGTACATCAATAACAACAGAAGAAAATTATAGCATTTCACAAATTCATTTAAAGTCAAGCAATCTTGGGTTATCTACTAAATACAGCATTAGCAGGTCATTGGATATTATGAAGATTTTTTTTCATATTTTATATTTTCATATTTTCTTCATTTTTTTTCTATTTTTAAGTGGCCATGGATTGAAAGCTTGTATCTAAGAGTTACTAGGCAGCCCTAACAGGATAGCACAATGGCTAAAACCCAGGCATAGCTGAGTTCAAATTATAACTCTACCATTAAACAGCTGTATGGACAAGTCTCTTAACTCTCAGCTTCAATTTTCTCATCTGTAAAATGGAGATGATAATACCTAACTTTGTGGTATTGTGTTGGATTAAATGGCATGATATAATGTATACATTTAACACAGTGCCGCCATTACTAACATTGCTAATACAGTTAAAAGCCCAATATATATAGAAGTCCAAATTTATAAAGCCAATAAAAGAATGGCAATTTGCCTCGGGATTCATTAAATAGTAAGCATTTGGTGAATAGATCAGTTGGATTTGAGTTACCAAAAAATGGTCATCCATTTTTTAAGTCCATCTCCAATGCAAAAAGTATTTATGAGCCGACAAGAAACTTCATAAAGCCATGATTCTTGGACATTGTAGGCCCTCCTGTTTGCTAGGGAGTCACATCTTTATTTAGAACCAACAATGGCAGAAAGATGAGATGGGTGGCCTATTCATGGAAGCCAGATCTCTTCCTGTCCCGAAAATGTCAGGAGAAATGTTTCTCCAATGGTACAATATAGAAAATAGCAAAGCCACACTCCAAACACATAAAATCACTGAGAAGAAACTAGTTAGGAAAATGTCTTTCAGAAACCAATACGAAATCCTGTTTGGGGAATATGAGAACATCCAATGGTAGGTGTCAAAAAGACCTGGTAACTAGCTGTGTGACCTTAAGAAAGCCACTCAACCCACTTCGAGCCTCAGTTCCTCGGCAATAAAACCGGAGATAATAATTTAGCCACACCTATATTACCTACCTCTGAATATAAACCTCACTGTATAACATGTTTCTTTTCTGTCTTTCAGTAAAAAATTATAGTTTCCTCCATAAAGATCTCATGTTGGTTAGATACTGCATATTTTTTTGTTGATACTATGGATGGGGATCTTTTTCTCCTATATTTTCTAAATAGTTATTGTTGGTACTATTATTCCTTTTTTTTTTTTTTTGTCCTTTTTGAGACCGTCTGCACCGCGCTCAGCCAGTGAGCGCACCGGTCATCCCTATATAGGATCCGAACCCGCGGCAGGAGCGCTGCTGCTGCTCCCAGCGCCGCACTCTCCCGAGTGCGCCACGGGCTCGGCCCGTTGGTACTATTATTTCTTTTTTTTTTTTTTTGTCCTTTTTGAGACCGTCTGCACCGCGCTCAGCCAGTGAGCGCACCGGTCATCCCTATATAGGATCCGAACCCGCGGCAGGAGCGCTGCTGCTGCTCCCAGCACCGCACTCTCCCGAGTGCGCCACGGGCTCGGCCCGTTGGTACTATTATTTCTAAGTAACATTAGTTGTCTGTTCATGTCTAATACTTTAGCAATACTTTTATTTTAATGGCTAGGACCTCCAGGATAATGTGAAAGAACCGCAGAGATTGCAGGCATCCATGTTTTGTTTCTGGTTCTTATTATGAGGTTTTAATGTTCTCAAAATGCGTTATTTCTACACTCCTTAATAAAGAGCCTATTAAGCAGATCTTCGTTAACCAATCTTTCTAATCCTCCCTACTCTCATTTCTATTAAGTAAATAGCTAAGTCTTTTCAAGTGTGATTGCATAATTCTTTAGCCCCATTATTTCCCTGTTTCAGTTCAACTCTTAGGATAGCAAGGTCTACTTGGTCTCTAGGGAATAACATCATTGTTACAACATTCTTTCCATGTTACATTTTTTAACATACTGTCACACACACCACCATTTTATCCAACAACTACCCAGAAAGGTATTTAGGAAAGATTCTAGTAGTTTTACTTGACACATGGGAAAACTCGGTTAAAAAAATTATCTGACTCCCAAACCCAGAGCAAGGACTCAAACCTAGATCTCCCAGCTCTCTCTCTTTCCTGTACCCCACACGAGGTAACACTTGATGCAGGAGAGATTCTGATGATTTACAGACCCCTCTGATAATATTCTCTGTAATTCAAAACAAATTCTGCTTAATGCAAAAAGCTGGAAGGAAAAAAATCTGGAAAAGAAAATCTGAGGAGGACAACTACTAGAAACCCAATAGAACAGGACATGAGGAACGTGGAAGAACAGCATCTCAAGCAGGGGCTGTCAACCTCGGCACCAGTGACATTTGGGGCCAGAAAACTCTTTGCTGAGGGGCTGTCCTGAGCACTGTAGGACGTGCAGCAGCACCCCTTACTGCTGATACCAGCAACAGCCCCACTGCACACATAAAATTGTGACAACCAAAAACGTCTCTAAACTTTGCCAAATATCCCTTGGGGGACAAAACTGTCCCTGGTTGAGAACCACTAATGCAGCGGGTCTGCTATCTGCCTAGGAAAATGGTTGCTTGAGTTTAAGGGCATGGGGGGTAAAAAAGGGACCTGGGCGAAGAGAAGGAGGAGGAAGAAAAACTCCCACTGAATGATAAATTGTACATTACAAGCAAGCAGAACTATTTCTAACCTGAGTGGGGTCTTCTAGGATGCTATTGTGGTAAGCTATATATTCAGAGCCCGACTTCCCTTCGATAAGTTAGTAATAGGACAGGAAGAGTTGTTAAGATCTAAATGAAACTGGAAGAATCAAATATGACAGCTAATCTCCCTAACCGGGCCAACAACTCAAGGCCTGTGTGTCTGGTAGAGGCCAGGGTTATTGATCATTCAGAATAAGTTCCCCCCCATGCTCCCATCCCCACCCCACCCCCAACTGGCTAGGGGTGGGTGTCCCTAGGAGGATGAGGAAGACTGCCAGCTGCTCCACACTCTTGGAGGAGTTCCTCCTTTCCTGAAGCAGCAGTTGCTGCTAAGAACTAGCTGTCTGGTTAATCTCCTTGTCAATCAGATGCTTTCCTTATCTGCTTCTTGTAAGTGTTTCCTGCTCCATAAAAATAATCTGATAACAAACATGGAACATTTAAAAAAGCAAAAGCAAATCATTTCAGGTAAAATGAGTTATGATTTTTCTCCCCTACATGTATAAGTTGTGTTACCAGCCTGACTGACAGCAAGACAAACAGGTTACAACCTGTGTTATTATGGGATAATCGCGGGTTATGAGAGTAATATTCCCTGCTCCTTCTACAGGTTGGCTTAACAAGAAAATAGGAAAAGCCTGTTCATTCACTTCAGAAATACCTTAGTCTACCCCAGGAGCCAGCAAACTTGTTCTATAAAAATAGTAAATATTTTCAGCTCTTTAGGC